TCATGACAACCGACCGCACACCAGTAACTCGATAAAGTTTCATCTTCAGACAACTGTGAAGACAGTTTCGCATTTCTGACAGAAGAAGGTCGGCCATTACTTTGGAAACAATGTCTGTCAAAAGATTTGCTTTGTAAACATTAACACACACGTCAGCAGCATACACCCATGGGCAAATAGTAGACGCTAAATTAACCAATCAGAGCGCGCGCTTTGCTTTAGTTATGTTATAAATAAAAACCATCAGTTTCCGCAAAAAATATAAAACATCCCAATACCAAATAGAGCTGTTTTCAATTGGGTGTCATAAAACCAAAAGCAAACCAATTACTTACCAATTAGACTACTCAACCAATCTCAAACCCAAGTAAAACCAAAACCAAAACCAAAGCCAACTTAACCGTTTTATCAGTATTTTAGTTATAATCTTATTACTCTTCTTTTTTGAATTGAATTTGGGAAGTAATCAGGCAATGATCCTGGTTTTGGTTTTGATTTGGTTTTACTCTGTTTTAAGATTGATTGACGGTAGCCCAATTGGTAAGTGACTGGTTTAATTGGTTTTGGTTCTACGACACTCAATCGAAAACCACTCGATCTAACCTGTTTTACTCACCGTAGCCAAATTCGGAATTAGCCAATCAGGAGCCAGGCCCGCCGATACCGTACGTCCTGATATCTTACGATATCAAGTCACTGACCTGATATGGCCCAATAAATGCGTATGGTGACGAAAATACCCAATTGTACCTTTTGATACTGACATCTGTTGCAGTATGTAAGGCTCGTTTTGTCTCACCATGAGCATTTTGTGTCGCTTGCGTCTCAGCACAATATAAACAATAGCTTGTCTAGAGTCCCTTAATATGAGCGCTGCCGACGAAAAGGCACTACCTCAACATACCGTACGGTTCGTTAATTTTATAGACAGAGCGATATAAACTCAGCAGAAAGATGTGCCAAACGGTGGGTGTTTCTACCTCTACCTTCTTTTAATCTTTGATAAATAATGGTAATAGACTGATCAATGGAGTCCCATTAGGTCTGTTTTGGTCTGTTATCATATGAGTGATAAACAAAATCGGACGACCGCGAAGCGGGCCGGGAATTCCGTTTAATCACGAATATTAGTATAATTTCAGACCGAATAGGCCACGTTCGGTATATCAATATTCTATCATGGCTCCGAGGCCTTCAGGTCAAAATTGTAAATTTTTAAAGTTTCTTTCGTCTTTCAATTCCCAAAAGAGACTTGGATACAAAGAAAACAACACCAAATATAGAAGTTTGTCCTGAAAGCCTCGGAGCCATGTTAGAATATTGATACATCGAACGTGGCCTATTGCATTGGACCAATTAATAATAATAATAACTATAACAAAATTTGAGAAAAAAAAAAGACGAAAAGTCTAACTTTCTAGTGAATAAAGTAGGTGTAGAAGTCCATGAGGGAAGAATTCGTTCTGTCTCACAACAGCAAACACATGTGACATGTACAGAGTTATGTCCGTGCAAAGGTGTGACATGAACATTGTCCAGTAATAAAGACATAACGCATGCAATGTGCGATACATACTCAAATAGTGCCTCTTGATGAACAGTTATGAATTTTGTTGTAATTTATTAATTAAGGGAGATTTACCGCATAAATGCATTAATATCCAAACAGTAAATAATGTTTCTTGGTTACGTACTATAACAGTTATCCACCTGTGGCATATAATTCAATTGCCTAATTTGTTTAACAACTTAATTACAATACAAGATATGCAGCTGCACAAACGGACTTTCACTTAACACTCACGAGGACAAATATGGGAAAACAGACGATTTCTTTAATGGAAATAGATTTTTGAAAAGAACTTCCAGCCCCGGATGTCAAAGACTGAATTTAGTATATTTTCTTTTTAAAACATTATTTACTGTCAGACCAATACCCAATTTTTTAAATTCTTGTTCTCCCTTAATCTAAACTGTAAACCTTAAATTCTTCCTTCATCTCTCTTGTCCTACAATTAGACATAACAAGGCCGGAGGCTAACTGGAAAACCGAGCGGTTCATTTATCCTCCAGTCTCAATAAAACTGACAAGACTACAACGGTGATCTCCTTTGAAATATACATTATAATTATATAATAGATGTTATAAATAAGATAATGTTTGTGTTTGTATTGAGGGAAAAATAAAAACCTTATTGCAGTCTCACAATTGATTGTTTTTATCTTTTTCTTTTTTTGAAGCGTAGTGAATCGAGCATGTAAAATAAATACACTGACTTCAAAGCTGGTTTAAACCGACTGAAAAACATTATTTCGCAGCACCTAATTCCAAGACATTTGTTTAGAGTGATAGTGATGATAAAGGCCTGGGTGCTTGATTCTTTCAACTTCCAACGTCGCATTGAGAAAACGGTCCAGTAGATCCCAGTCCTCCCCTCCCCACTGATATTTGTAGTCCATAGTGTTCATCCCTTTTTAAAAATAGAATACACATCGTAAAATGTAACTGTAGGATGAAGTGAGCAAAGTCATACTCCAAGCCCGCCGCGTTGTTCGAAAGGTGGATAACATTATCTTCTGGACAAATCACTATACAGTGAATAGCTTGTTTTGTTTTGTTAACACTTATCCACTGGATAGCGATTTATCCGATTGATAGCGTTATCCACCTTTCGAACAACTGGAGCCAGGACCATAGACTGAGAAGAAAGTGGAAATTGATAGGACCTCTCCCAACCTCGTTCTCTGGGATTTTCCCAGGATGGTAAGAGTTCCTCCCCACCCCCACCCCTTCGGTCTTCGATCTCCGATATTTCGAATTCCTCATTTTCTTTCGAACTCAAAATCATTTCTTTTGGATTTGCCTTTAAGTCATTAACTATCGGCTATTTCGACCTCCCGCTAATTCGAACTATTTTTCGTTTAATTTCCCTGCGACTTCGAAATAGCGCGGTTCGACTGTATGTTATCAGGAGAAGCGTCAGTGGTGTGGGGAATGGATCCAACCCTTCCTCTTTCCTTGTACCACTTTGTCAAGGGTTGAAATTGTCTTCGATAAGAATAAAAGAAAAACTATCATTGGGAGAAACTCATGTACGGGCGATCGTTCTTTTGGACCATCCTTTCTTGCCATCATTTCTTTGCCTGTTGCTATTCCTTTCTTTCAAGGCCAATAAGGCTCCTGTAGTGTTAAATAGTCACCAATTAGGTGATATAGTTGAGCGTTTAAGAAACTAGTTATTTCTCTTACCTCCGAACCTTATCCAGTCTGATTTATAAACACTAAGAAGACCATAACCAGCGGTTTCCCAGTAGCCTTGATGATCGACGTATGTGCTGACACAATTCAGGTGTCCGACAATAGGGATGTAGACAAGTCGGCCTTCGATTATGCTCTGCCAAAAACAAGGAATACGCAGTGAAAAGTATGTTTCTAATCCTCCTAAATCACAGAATATAAGAGTATTCATTGACTCAGTTTTTTAAATGACCACTAATATTTTGTTATATAAATCAATTACCAGCTCACCTTCCTTACACTGTGCATAATGTCAACAGGCACATCGATATGAAGATCAAATAGAAACAAAATATCATGCTCACTTGGAACACGCTCAACAGCCTTGTTCAATGCTA